TACCTCCCATACAAAAGATGCGCCTCGTTGATGGGCCGAGCGGTACCCTTGAATTCACAATTTATACAAACTACAAAGTAAAATATGGCGATACTATACTCAAAGTAAAATATGGCGATGCGACGCGAATTTTGGTGAACTCCGGTGGACTTCGGCGACTTTCCTAACTTGTGAGCGGTACGATGGAGCTTGCACCTTGAATTTTGGTGATATGGAATGCAATTTTTTGATGAACGATGAACGAAAAGAAGATGTCGTTCCGAGATCTTTTAACTAGACGGCCGCACGTTCCTAGAGGGTCAATTAGGCTAGAGGATCAGTCAATGAAAAAGTGATGGCGATCATGTCTTGCTTGATTGAGCAAACTCAATTCGGTTTCTAGAGTAGCTTGGAGATATTTTAAGCTCTGTATCTGCCAAACATCTTAAGCGCTGATTTTGTTTGCTTGAGCCTTTTTGCAAATGACCTTTTCTGCAATTATATTGACATCTCATATACGTTCAAACTCAACATAATTGGTTATATCCATATTCGATGAATGATAGTGGCAGTTGTCTCTTGTTTGGGCTTTCGTACAGCTTTCAGTATCTGATGCCTGCACAACCGTGAAACTGAAAAAATTGGATTGCGGCGGTTTTTCCCGTTTAATCGAGCCTAGTTTGAGCTCTGGCAGATATTTCCTGAGATTTTACTGAAGTTAAAGCTTCAAGTAGCATTTGAAATTTTCAGAATTTGAGCAAATCTAAATTCAGCCACTTCTCCGATAGCGGCTTTTCTTGTGTAGCTTCAGTTTTTCCTTGTACCATTCATTGGAGGCCAAAGTAGAGTAAAACTTGAACAATGTCTTTTTTATTCACTTTCGGTAAATTTTTTTATGATTGAAAATTGAATTTAAATTGAATTTTCATAACATTGGCTCAATTTTGAGCTTCTAGGCCTCCGTGGCATATTATGGTGGGTCTAAGCGCAATATTGCCTTAAGTCAGCAGGATTCTGGATTCACTTGCCTTATGCTAGAGGATCCATTGTAGGGGCGGTGCTTACCTGGTGCTTTATCCTGAGGAACTTCTGGATGTGGCCGCTCCCTACGCCTAATTATACCCCACAGACACGCACCCACTTGCCGCCAGAAACCTCGGATGGATAAATTTCGTTTTCCCTTCCCCGTCTACCTACTCTTCAAACTTCAGAGCGAAGTCTACAAACAACAAGACTACAAACAAGAAGACGAGTATGAAATCGATGAACTTCGGTATGGAAATGACGAGCCCAGTGGCAACAAATATCACGAGCTCCTTCGACCACCACCCCAGACTACGCTGGATCACACCGAGGATCACAGATCCACATACGTCCCTCCATACACCAAGCCACAGCCACAGCGCCCTCAAGATCACAGCTCAGCATACGTCCCCACATACACCAAGCCACAGCCAGAGAACCCTCTGGATCACAGCTCTGCATACGTCCCTGCACGTTCCACCAAGCCACAGCCAGAGAATCCTCCTCAGGATCACA